AAAACGTATCTTCCGTTTTCTTTACGCTGCAATACATGGATCATATTGATTTACCAGTTAATTTTACAAGTGATTTGATAATGACCGTTTATGTCGGTACCTTTTTAATCTTGGCTAGGAACTTCAACCAAGGCCGACCTTGCTAAAATTGACTGATCAGAAAAAGTGAATAAGATTATTTTTGATCCTTTGCATTACCTCATGACGATTTTCTTTTAACGCCCATACGTCAAGTCTTATAGTTATGATTGGCTTTAGTAAGTACAAAGCACAGGTATAAACCGTTCAAATATGGATCCCTAATTGATCCCTAATTGATTTTGAGTTGACATTCAAAGTTTTGAGTTGACGGCTTACTCTGCAAGATTATATTCCTCACTGCAGCATGGCAACCATATCGTGCCTTTTTGCCAAAGGCATAAATTGGATGTTTGTGACAGGAAAGGGGTATAGTGAAATTGTTATATTGAGAAAACTAAATCCACTTGTTTGATATGTTTTGCATTAATTTTTTATTTCAAATGATTCTACTCTCGATTGTGAATTAAGCGTAAGATAACCAACAAAAARAATATAWTATATTCAACACTGAAACGAAGGAATATATTTTTTTCAAGTCAAACCGAGTTTCTTCATTTAGAAAGTTGCAGTGCAATAACAGGATGACTCCTTTGTTTAAAACATCTAGACTGGATATTTTTGGGTCTTTAACACCTTAATAAAAACTCTTGGACTACTGGAATAAATTGCTACGTTACTATYAATTGTGAAAGTTGATAGTATTTATCAATATAGATCACACAAGTTTGGGATATGTATTTAACTTTATTAAAGTAGATTTACACCAAATCGTACTCCGGTTGGTTTGCTCAAAACAAACGAAGCAAAGCCTAGGTCAACATGACATTAGAATGACATTGTCCTCTTGGTTGCTGAATCTGTATTTTAAATGTCCGTCTTCAATAACAGTCAAGAGTGGAGTTTTCTTTTTTTTAAGTTGCTTTTCTTCTTCATCTTTGACTTGACATTCTTTTGTCCATGTTATTCCGATCCAATATGTCGTTGTTTATTTCGAGGAACTCTTATGGAATGTTTTCTCTTGCACTCTGCGTTGCCGCGTGTAAGATCTCTCTTCTTGAATGAGCGATACACATTAATGTTGAAGCAAGCATGGAAACTGAAAAGAAAATACACAAATGGATAATTTGTGTTTTGTTCAAGTGAAGGGTTTTGAGGAAGTACATCGTTATTATATGCATTTATTACATCTAATACACGAGAATATAAATAACGGGAATGTGGTGCTAGAAATATCTCAGCCAAGTCCTTTTAAATGGTATTGAGGGCCTTAAGTGCGTGATCATTTGTTTCATATAACATACCTGTCAGTGCCGTCAACGTATTGAAGAGTAACCTTCTTTACTTTCCAAGGATCAAGTGGGTTAGCAGTCATGTGGTTTTTTACTTCAACGGATTTAAGCTCACCAAGGTCTGCCTTGATTGGTGCAAGAAATTGTTCGGTGGTACTTTGATCGAGCTTCCTGGGAAATACAATTGCAATTCAGAAAAAGTGTGAATAAACTGAGTATGAATTAAAAATGGTTTTTGCAGACCARCCATCAATATGTTTTTCCTTGAATGAATGATGCAGGTCGTTTCTACACTATGAGAACGCTGATATAAAACTAAATTGTCACTGAACAGTTACCCTTCGAATTTGATATCTCCTGTTCCTCCTTTGCTTCCATGGATGCGAATCCTCGGATTATGTCCACCCCCTACTCCAAATGTGGTGCTGCCAGTTTCGAATCTTACGTACATGTAGCGAGATACTGTGAGTAAGCATTGATACGTCAGCATATATGTAACAAGTAGTTTGTTGCTAGGATAGCTGGTCAGTTATAAATTGACTGGTTGACGGTTTTTTCATGGCTATATTGGGTTCGATCGGTTTGGGGAATTACGCGCTGGTCGGGTGCTGGTTGTTTGTGTTTTTGTTTATTCTGGTTCATTGGGTCTGGACTGTGGGCAGGGACTTCATGGTTTATTGGATTGGTGAATAGTTTTCAGTTTCATGGTTGAATGTTAAGTTGTTTATTTTGAGAGAGTTGTTTAGATTGAGATTATGGCAGATTGACGGGTTTAGGTAGCTTGGATATTCATGTTGTACGGGCGATAAACAACACTGATTGATTAAGGGGATTTGATTTTGTGTAGTGCATGGAATAGCGAGTTTTTTGGTTTGTTCGATTTTGTTTGTTAGTTTGCTAATTAGGATAGTCGATGCTTTGGWAACGGTGGTTATGAAGATGGATTGTAAGTCCTTACCGCAATATGGAGGTTTTTCATTTGTATAAAGATAAAAGTTTCCATTYTTTACATCCTTGTAYTTAATGGCGTTAAAGCCCATTTCTGGACAGTTCTTCCCATTAGCTCCACATTCCATGCAATCACCACGTCTGAACTCATTCCATGATCGGCAAGGATACGAACGAAATAAGCACTCGGTGGATTTGATGGACTCAATGAAATACTGGTGAGCTCGGAAATGTTCACAGCCCACCAATTTGACGATTTTATCGACCACTCCTCTTTCTATCGAGAAGAAAAGATGGAACTGTATTTCATTAGCAATTGATAAAGCAAGAAAGAATGGACAAACAATAAACTGCGTTAGTGTCCAGTCACTAGGCTAGTGTAACTGTTTAAATTGAAGAATCCGACACAAGAAAGCCGATTGTAATTTATTCATCATACCTGATTATTTTCTCAATAGTTGTAACTATGGTACGTATACACCTACTTTTGATGGCGCATCCAGGTTGTGATCCACCGCCATTTGGCCAAAAGTCAAACTTTCCACTTTTGTCAGGGGTACCTACTCTGGGAGAATCACTATGGATGACGTCAACGAACTCGGCGTCAGTGGCGTCCAGTCTCACGTCAATGTGCTCATCTCTATATCCTGGGGAGGCTGGATCTAGTCCTACGATAACGAAGTTGAATCTGCTATTCAAAACAATTGAGAACTT